AAAACGTCTAAAATAACAAACATCAATTAAAAATAAAGCTTCATTTCATTAAAAATGTTCACCCTGGACAGGACCCCAGTCCATCGTAAAGCAGACACACAGACACATTTTCTAACACCCAGGGCCAAGTTTCCCAGAATCCAATGAACCTACAGTATTTTGGGGGGTTGTGGGAGAAAAGCAGACAACCCCCAAAAAACACATGCGAAAAAGGGGTGAAAAAAAACAGGTGGCACCCCAGGTCCAGAACTGAACCCAGGGCCCCTGCACTACAAGTCCGCAATGCTAACCACTGTGCCATCAGGCTGCTCTTTAATTATTTCAAATACTACAGAAATATGTTTCCTGTGAAACGTTTCAATAAATTAGAATACAGCTGCTGCACATTATTTGACAATAACTTTCAGACGAAGTGTAAGGAAATGTCTTTTTGCTCCATTGCAGATGTCTTAGTAGAATATGGAAAGTAAAAATAAGAAGGTAAAAGAGACACTTAGGTATGCAATTGAAATTTAAGGGGATATATACTGCCTTATATACGCTTTTAGCACCACATGGATGCACTGTCTAAAACAAGATTTAATTTTGTTTTCTCCTGCTTCAGATTTATGAAATCATCTTCTGGGAGACATTCTTTAAATCTTTAGTATCTGAGAATTCTTGATGGACATTTCTAAAGAAGACTGGGTTATACAATACTGGCTGTGTATGACCCACAGACTCTGCTATTCATATTACTAATACTTCACACCGGAGAGCAGTAATGCGTCTTAGTAAAACAGATATCCTGGAGGATTCTTCTCACTCTGCCATTTTAAAAGAAAAAATATCTGGATGTAACAACCAAGACACTAATTATTATTTAAGAAAAAACGCTCATATTCTCTTCCTATTGTATTGCTAGACACAAACAAAATCTACAGCCAATGGGACTAAGAATTTAGCAAATTAGTTAAAGATCATTACTATTATAAAAGTATTACTTTATTTTCTACACCACCATAAGTCAGTAACTTTCACTATGTTTGAACAAGTTGAAAATAAAGCTTAATAACACGTAAATCACAGACTTTAATATGCTACATTGACACTGTGTAGTAAGTACAGTAAGCCACAAACAGCATCTGTCTTTATCATTTTATACATGTTATCTATGAACTCTACAATGTATGATTATGTCTTGTTAAGCATAAGATTAAAAAACGTAACTGTAAAGGTTACAATTTTTTATATGTTTTGTACAGTTATACTGATTTCAAAATAATTCTGTCATTTTTTCTTTCTTATCTAAAGTCTATAACTGTATATACTGTATATAATATTACTTCTGTGCTGCATTGTCAGTTAGTTACTCTGCAACAGGCATTGCTCACAGCTGAAAAAAATATAACCTTACATGTAAACAACATAAACAGATTGCCACACTCTTGAATTTACATAAATCAAAAGCTTCCAGGTACATGCTGATCCTACAGGATTTAGTATTGCTCCACTAGAGTCTGGAGATTATAAAACACTTTGGTGGGGGAAGGCAGGGTACTAATTTGCTTTATTGGTGGTGATCCTACACATTGTGGATAACAACACAGTAGTATTAATCCTAATTACACACCTTGACCTTGAATGGCAGTGCATTTCCAATTTCTGCCCTTCGTTTACAGGAAGTGGTGAGGCTGTCACTTTAAATGCTATTAAGTATACAGTATTCTGCTCATGCTTTTAAGAACAACAGGGCATGCTAGCATTTACAAACAGAAAAACAGTATCAATCTCTAAATTAGATATTTTGGGTGCCTTTGCGAGACTATTTTCAAAAGGCCTGTCAGGCTTAAACACTTAAAATTGGTTAAAAGATTTTAATTTTCCTCAAAGCTGTGGAGCAACAAATTCCTTTGCAGTGCAGCATCACACAAAGGTGGGAATAGCAGTTAACTTATATATTTTTTTCTGTATCGCTGTGCATGTCAATGACAAGAAGCCACGCATAAACAATTGCACAGTCCTGGAATTGAAGCTTTTGCAGTAAATACTAAGAAAGTAGAAGGAGGGTGACTGTACCTCAGAAGCAGTTTCCCCTGTTCCAAAAGGATGGCTAATGGAGAGACCGCTGTATCCTACTGTGTCACATTACAAGCTGGCAGAAGAGGCAGGCAGTGACGGCGATGCAGTTTCTGTGTGTGTCCGTGCCGGGGTTTAAAATGGTTCATTAGTTAGCAGCAAGAGAGCCGAGCCAGGCAACAGGGACAGCGAAAGAGCATCCTTTAGCTTGCAGAGAGGAGGATGCAAGCAGCAGTGCACCAGTGCGCGCACACACACACACAGGCATGCACACACACACACAAACACTCAGGCACTGAAACAGTACATACAGTACTGATTGCCCAGTACATTCAAAGATGGTTTCTCCCTGGTAGCCAGCTATCTCTTTCACATAGTATTATTGTTGCATGCCTGCCCCCTAAAATATCCACCCCACCCCCATTCCCTAAGACTAGCTGGTGAGAAGCCGTGATCAAAGCTGACAAGGTCAAACAAGGTTTTGGTTTTAATGGCTCCCTGTCCTGCCTCTCCCGTTCCCTTTCTTTTTCTGGTTTTCAAACTGACATGGGCACTTTCTCTGTCTCTCAATCTCTTCATAGATCATGCCCCAGCACGATCACCCCCTAGCAAAGCACAGTGGCCCTCTCTCCCTGTGCAGACCAGACCAATCCGCTACACAAATACTAGGAGGAATTTTCTATGCTATCATCCAATCAGAGATCAGGAAATCAAGTGCAGAAGGGTATTAAGAGGGATTATTTGGATGGTCCTAGTCGCCCCCTCCCTTCTTGCCTGGAGGAAGATTTCATTCAGGGACAGATCAGCCTGGTTAGCTTTAAAACCTATAGTAGAAGCAGTACAGGCTACAAATAAAAAAAGATCTGTACTAGTTACTCTTTCCTCAGCTGCCTAGCAACCACAGCAGCTCTTATATCAAAAGATTCTCCTCTCCAGTGACATTCTACCTCTTCGATCCTGATTTAAAGCCATCCATTTTCACGATCAGACCCAGCTGTTTTTCTGTAAGCCATCTGGAATTGATAAAGGTTTATCCAGAAAGGATACCTACTGATCAATGCCCGATGAATAAAAAAAAAGAAGAAAAGGAAAAGGGGGTGTGAGTCTCAGAAATGTAAGCTGACAAATTGACCTTATTCCCATATTTCCCTCCCATAAGACCACTAAAATCAGCAATGTGCAGATTTTAAAAAATCCACTAAAAACATGACAAAAATTTTCCAACCTCTAAGACTTTTATGCTTTAGTAAAATATCATAAAATATATGACATGCAACTCATAAGAACTCATAAGAAGTGTGTAAAACTCTTAAATGATCAATAATATTTATACCTCCTCTGCTTTTTCTATTCAGTGATATTGTAATTCTTTCATCAAACCAGTTCTGATTTAGCTATAGCACTGGACCCCAAGAACAAAGTAATTATTTTGAACACAATGAATGAACAATGCATGTCTGAAAATAGACATGAGAGTTTGCTGGCTGCTTGAAGTTCAATACAGTAGCCTGAAGCTGATCAAAAAATTTTTTTATTTTAAGTCAACTTTTTCATTTATGTCAGACCTACAATTGAATTTGCTTTGCCCTGTAAAAAAGAAAGTTCCAGTTCTCATCTAAGTGCGCCATTGCAGAACCTTGAAAAACTCTTGTGTTATTGATCTACAATGCACTTAAAAAGTCAATTTACTTTAAATTTAGAAACAAGGGTCAGGTCAGATTCTAAGAAATAGTACTACTGTTCCTTCTTTTATACCAAGACAGAAATAAATGTGGGGAAAAAAAACGTCAGAAAATTCATGCAGACTAACACTATAAAATATGTATCTTTTTATTTTCCATAATCTTTGAATATCCGTGTGTGGGTATTAAAGGTAAAGCCTTTAAAGTGTTTATTCAATGCTGTGTGAAACTAAGTAAGAAAAAAATAATCCCTTATCAAAGTTCTTTGTATTGCAATAATTGTCTATTTTCTTTTAATCAATCTGTGACTAAATAGTACAGCACTGCAAAAAACTAAGATACTGTGTTGAATATTGCTGTTATGTAGATAATGAATTCATAAATTCTACAAATGTTGAGAAGATTTTATTTTACTTAATAAAACAAACATTGGTTTAAACAGATGATAGCTCAAGATATTGCACAGGTTGAGAAACAAGGGCCCATACTGTAACTGGCACAAGAGATAGATACTGTACTGGTAGATGAGCAACAGTAGAATCTTTATCCGCAGGAATAAGGAATATGTAAACCTGTGAAGTTCCACAATCATCTGTGGCAAAATCTATAATACAGAATTGATTTTCCCCCTTGGGTTGCTCAATACTGTACGTGTCAGTAGAACTCCTGCTGTCTTCCCGAGACTTTGAGGGACAGTCTATCCTAGCATCCTTGCCTGTTCTGCAGAAACAACAGCTTCCAAAGGGCAGAAAAAAGGCCTCTTGTTTTTCTTTTCAAGTGTGAATGTCTCCTCTTTGCCAATGGTTGATATTTTTACCTATGCATAACACATTTCAGTCACTAGAAAGAAGTGATAAATGTTGTCCAATTAAAAAATATACAGCAAATAAAAAAACTATATAGAACTTATCTTTACCAATAAAACAAATGTAAAACTCACTAATTAAACATTAACTTTCAAATTACAATACCTTATCAGTATAATTGCAGATTATTTCTTATTATATCTAGTATCCATTATTTATAGTATACAGTATATACGCTATATATTATTTATTTACAGTTAGCAGTAGGTTTGGATGACAATTCATAGGCTTTATGGCTGCTTTCCTGTCCTGTATCACTGCTATTGGCTCCTTTTTCTTCCAGTAAAAAAAGTTATATTGACTACAATTACTTTCTGTATATATACAGTACACAGTGTATTCCATTCCAAAAGAAAATGTTTTTTCTAGTATATCCTAGATGTGTAATACTTACTTTATCATGAGACAACACGGTCATAGAACTCCTCTCATTGATGATTGACAGCTGTCTTTGAATCCACAAGAGCTCTCTCTGTGATTGTTTCAACAGCTCCTCGACATTGCATGACCTCTGACCTCCCATCACCTCCTGAAACAGGCATGGGACAGAATCTTCATCAAAAGGCTTTTCTTTTCCAAATACACAAGATCACAGACGTATTTAATTAGTTTACTTTACAGCTTCACATACCATCAACCCGTGTTTTGCACATTTGCCTAATATCCTAAGGCTATACATGCAAGTCTCTGGACTCTTGTGCACGTTGCTGTTTACTAGGATTATTTTTCTGCTTGCAGTTACATAATAATGGAAGAAGGATTATATTGTTAGAGTATTAATGGTATTGTTGACTGGACTTTTGCCAGATCTCTTTAATAATAAAGAGCAATATATTTCACTTCCAAATATGGAAATTACTTTCGCAATTACTTTCTTTTCTTGAATTCTCTTTTCAGTAGAAATAAAAATTACTTTCTCAACACATGCAAAAGAATGTCAAAAATCTTCCAGAAATCAGTTCACAAATATGCTCTTTCAGATTTCCAAATGCAATGCAATTCAGTCTTTTGAGAATCACAAGCTAATATCCCACATTCTAAAGGCCTTAAAAATGGTCAGAGCCGACTAATGCTCCAGTATAGTGATGGGGACACTATACTGTCAAAGGGCACCGTCCTTCGGATGAGACGTAAAACCGAGGTCCTGACTCTCTGTGGTCATTAAAAATCCCTGGGTGTTTCTCAGAAAGAGTAGGTGTTACCTTAGGCATCCTGGCCAAATTTCCCATTGGCAACATTCATGGCCTCCTAGTAATCCCCATCTCTGAACTGGCTTCATTACTCTGCTCTCCTCCCCACTAATAGCTGGTGTGTGGTGAGTGTTGCATCATCCAGGTGGGGCTGCACATTGGTGGTGGTGGAGGGGATCCCCATACCTGTAAGGTGCTTTGAGTGGAGTGTCCAGAAAAGCGCTATATAAGTGTAAGCAATTATATATTATTATTAAAGCTGTATTTAACTCATCTCTAACTCAATTTGAAATTTCTTTCACTACCTCAATTGAGCCATTAGGTGGAGCTCTTATCCCACATTCACAAATTTCCTCATTGTGTTCAATGCTTCCTTTGCTTCAGCTATTCTGAAAACATTACTGCTTTCCTTTTTTAAGGTAATAAAAAGGATCTCATTTGAAGATTTCATTATGTTTTGTATTATTTCTATGATGTAAAATGAAACACAAACCAACTGCAAGAGGTTTACAAATGTACTCGATATCACTATTATTAAGAAGCAAACTATTCTGTCTCAATGAAATAATATAAAAGAATACTTTCAATATTATTTTACCGTTGCTTTCAAAGTGCCAAGTCAGGACCAAATGTGCTCAATGAAAAGAAAGGAAAACCTTATGCAGTTACAGACTCCTCTTGCTGTCAACACCTAACTAATCTCTCTTAATTTTCTTCAGTTCATTTCTTACAAGTCACATACTGCACTGTATAGCACTTATTAAATCATTTTCCAGCTCAACCAGTAGACCATCAGACTGTGCATAGAGATGATGTCAATCTGCAGATTATGATCTATCTTTTAACAGCTTGATCACTGAATACACTATAAATATCAACTCGGCATTCACGCCTTTAGCATATACACAACAGAACAAAGCAGTAGACCCAGATTAACCAGCACCAAAGCGAACAGAGTGGGCTAGCTCTTTTCATCCTAATCTGAACATTAGGATGAAGGCTCTTCAACAGAAACCTTTCACGGGGAATTAGGATGGCCACTATTTTGGTCTGTTTGCTGATCACTAATTTCCCAGTCTTCAATTCTAGAGTTGGACATCCATTGTCAGAAAGTCTCCCGTCTCGGTGATGATCACGCCAAGCCATGGTGTGCAAAGCAGGACCGAGAGCACACGAGTGCCTGGATGGGACGCTCGTCTATCACAGGTTCACGATGCATGGAGCACTCGAGAGAAGCTAAGCCAAGCTAGTGGCAGAAACCAGAGAAAACCCACTCCTACATGGGGAGAACATGCAGATGCTTCATGAATGGATGCTGTTACCATTATATACCATTATATTTATTACATTATACCAATGCACTGCCTTATGGGCTAAATGGACTGAATTGCCTTGATCTCGTAAAACAATCACTTTAAGATTGAAAATCTTCACAAGCCTTCTAAGCATAAATTGTGGTATACAGTACCTATCTGTAATTGAATAACACTTCCTGACACATAACTCTTGCATGGTGTGCTCACACCTTCAGAGCAACCCCAGGGAAGACGGATACTGACAACTTGATGAAATCTCACTACGAATCCGCCGATACCTTTAGCGAGCCCAGGCGGAATCTGAACTCCTGGCACTTGTCTTCAAGGACGGCGATATCCAGGTCTTTAGATGCCGTTGTTCCCGGCCTGCTTAAACAACACATCTGGGGAAGTCCTCCATTTAGATCTGCACTTCTCTCTTCATGCGCTGCCCTCCTCCCCGGTGAAAGTTTGGAACTGTCATTCTGTAAAACAGTCAAAATGGCTAGCACCCTCATTATTACACCCTTCAATGGGCTGATTATGTTGTAAGGAAGGTGGCCTACATACAGTATTCTATTTGATAATTAACTGCAGTTCTCCATGGTATGTGTAAATGTTCAGTACTAGTGTTGAGACTTTAGGATGGGGTGGACAATGTTCAAATAGAGCTGCACAACATCAAGCAGTATGTCTATCTTGATTAAATTCAATTGCCAGACCACTTAGTTTCCTACTACCTCTGTTATTCTAACAGTATAACGTCTTTATTGTAATTGGGTGAGAAGCATAGAGATAATATAATACTGTACAGCATATAAAAACATAATACTTTCAAATCAGAGCAGCTACATAACCTGCTATACTAAGATTATTTTAGAAAGCTAGAAATCCTAACACAGATAATCTTATGCTGCTTATGTGAAGCCTTTTTATCTTTCAATACCAAATAATGAAGTTTTGTAGCTATAGCAGTTATCATTAACTTTCATTAACAATGTACCATTAAGTGATGCAATAAACATGTAAGGTAATAGGCAGCGGACTGTGGCCCTTTCCTAGCTTTGGAGTTACCCAAATGTTTTCTTGTGTCTCGTGCCAGAAAATAGCCTCTTAAAAAAAGGAATAAAAGCAGATTCTTCTGAAGCAGCCTAATAAAGTCCTAGTTGTTTTGCCAACATTCAGGACTCAGGCTGTGTTAGTTTGAAAATTACAGCAGTAAAAAATTATTTGTGCACTATTACCAAAAACACATATACCGTAGTATGTGCATAGTGCATAAAGTTATGGCCTTCTCATTTAAATTTCAATAATTAGAAATTACTGTAAAGTCAGATTCTGTTAATAAGATGGACAGCTGTTTCAACATGATAGCCTAACTACATTAAATCTGAACTTTTTTAAAGGTTTTATACATTAGTCCTTTAACAATGCTGTAGCATACAACAAAAAACATATATTAAGAATAAACTGAATGAGGATGACAAGAAATTAATTTTGTAATTCTTTTTCAGGCATTATGTTTTCATGAAGGATGTAAAAAAGGAAAATACTATCCTATCTGAAATGTAAATATATGTTGGAACCCACATATTTCGTTGGTAAAAAAAATGACATTTTTACCAACCAAATGGTAATGGCATTTGAAATCTAAATGTGAAAATATTGTTTCGGGTGGGTATCTATTTTTCACAGTGTGTGGCGTTTCATTCGAGTGGAAAGTCCCCACACCCACAGGAGAAACTCCAATTTCAGAAAATTGTACTAAAGAACCTTGACATATTTGTGCTCTAACAAGACTAACAAGGCACTAACAAGATTTTGAAATGCACATCCAATACGGGGTCACGAAGGAGCCAGAGTATATCCCAGCAAGCAATGGGAACAGCCTGTACCGAACTCTTGTCCATCTCAGGACACAAAGTACTACAACCTACTGCAACATGACGAAAAAACGCACTGAGACCAGTTTCCCCAGAAGCCAATTAACCTACCAGTATGTCTATGGACTAGGAGAGGAAACTGGTGGAATCCAGAGGAAGCCCAAGCAAACACAGGGAGAACATTCACACTCTATGCAGAGAGCACCCCAGGAATTAAACCCGGGGCCCAAGAGCTTTGAGGCAACCACTGCAAAATGCAGGTCCTTAAAAATATAGATATTGGTACTGTAATGAAAGGGAGTCAGGAATTAAATAATGACAGTAAATGAAAAGCACATAATTGTCTTTTCAAAAGAATGACGTTTCATAGGAGCTACAGTATCTTGCTCATGTCTGCAGGTCGTTAGTCAATTTTAGAATATACCAGAACATTTTAAACAGCTGTACCTTGTTCTTCTTGGCAGGGAACTTATTTGGCTCTTCTTTATTAACAGTCTCACAATCTAGACTGCAGTGTTTCATATTCATCTTGAAGAGACCAGCACTTCCCTGGTGCTATAAAAGGGGTAAAAAATTGTATTGTAACGCAGTTAAAAAAGGGGAAATTCAGCTGATGCTGACATATAAGCATGTTGTCTAGAGATTAGTAATGTTGTGATGTTCACAAAATAAAAGAAGCATCATGACATGTGACATTTCTTTCTCGATGCTATTTTGATGCACAGTGCCATTAAAACAATAAAATCCTTATTTTTAATGCAACTACTTTTCGGTGCTTATACTCATACAAAACAATATAAGATGTTAACATTAATGTAACACAATCTATTAAAGGAAGTTGGAAACGATGAAAAAGGAGCATGCACAAAATCCACAATGGATGTCCATTTGGTCTTATGAAGTTAGGTTATCATAAAGCACACACTGCATTATGATGGATCTGCTTGGATTTTAGAGATCACACAAAGCATCCCTATAGAACAGGCACCAAAAGCATCTGTATTTTCTACAGTGCTCACTTTATTTTAAAAAACAATAAGTCCTACAAAGACATCCACAAAATGTTTGGCTGTAGGATTTGTTTCTGTTTTTAATTCAATGGTTCTGGACTGTAACTGATAATGACTTTCCACTTTGAAAAGTAGAAACAAAGAAAAAGCGCAGTTTGGCTGTTGACTCTTCTTCAGGCGTGGTGGGGGGAAGCAGAGGAGCACCACTTCCTGAAAGCTGTGCCTTTCTTGTAGACCCTACTTTCTTTTTGCTTTTGATGCATGTTAAAATACAAAAAAAAAAAGATTTTTTTAAAGATTTGTAAAAAGACATATTTTACACGAGTAGTAATATTTATGCTTCCTACCAATGCTTACGCTCAAGTGCACTAAAATTGAATCTGATCTTGGTAATTATTCTTCACTTTGAAATAGACATAATCAAGGCACCTTGCTGTCAGCCACACTAAATTTGTTCAGTGAACTGAGGTCTTTCCCATGTTATCTTCTGTGCAGCTGCTGACTGTTGATCTTCCAGCAAGGCTCACTGAAACAACGTCAAACTGTAACATGCACATAAATGCCAAGGTGGGTCCTGAAATCATGCAAATAGAAAATCATGTCTCAAAGTGCTACCCTGCTGCCAGGCTGCTGCTTACTTTTCTGGATCCAGATTTGTCTCCAGGGCAACCTTGCTGGAGACACAGAGATGCCAAGAAGAGCCCTCAGGTTTTCCAGTAACAAATTCTGCATTTTCTTACCTCATTTATATTTCACTGTTATGAAGAGCTGATCAGTCTCGAGTTTTCTGAGTAATATTTGTTTGGTCATGGATGTATTGAATTTTTTGTATTAATTCCAACTCTTTATAAAAATGGTTTCTAGTTTTTTTACATGTTAGTGTACCGAGTGGCTTTCCAGAAAATGTTCCTTTTTTTGTCCCAGATTCTTGATTTTCTGCTTCCATAGTTAAGGTTTAAGCTGTCCTTGATCACACCTGCCTCTAGCTTTTTATAGTTTGAATGCTTTACCCACAAACACTGATTTTATTTCATCTCAGTGAAACAAAGCAACATTCAACATCTGGATGCCTTGCGGCACTGTCACAGAAAGAGAAAGGACCTATTCTTCTGGCAGGGCTCCACTCCCCACTAATAACCCTTTATTTAACCAGATGAGTCAGATCAGAACAAATTCTTATTTAAAATGCTGACCTGGCCAGCAGGCTTACACCATTGTTCCACAGAAGGCAAAACAATGAAAGAATGAAGAAAAGAACAACTGATGCAATGTAAAAGACATAACAGGACATGACCGACATCTCCTTGTCAGGAGAAAAATCATCTAAAAGATATCTTGTATCAAAATAAAGCTCAACGTCTTTTGAACTTTTTTCATGATCTTAGACAGGCAACGCAAAATGAACATTGGTCTGTCCATTTTACACAATGGATGGGTGCATCCTGTTGTCTCCCTTAAACAGTGACAGAGCAAGAATTGCACTCCGCAACAATTTTAGTTATAAAAGAAACATTGGATAAGTGTGTCAGCAGAGCAGATATTACACGACCGGAAAATCTTATTTTAAAATATGTTCTTTACCATTATCACCAGCACTGATTAGAGTCAATTATATCTAGTATTCAGCAAAAGGCTGAATAGTTCAATTGAAAGGGCTATGGAACTTCACTGCACCAAACTCACAACAATATTTTCATGAGTGACTCAACCAGTGAACGATTTGTTGAAAATTTCTTAGGATTGTTAAAGCACTTATTGCTCATATTGAAGCATCTACTGGATTGTGTCATTAATTTGCCTGGAAACTGGACAGTAAATATTGTTGCTATTAGAAATGCAGTTTTTCTCTGTGACTCTGAAGGATATACTGTATTGCTTCACCCTGAGGCCATGTGATCATCCGTTACTGTGAAATCTGAACTGTCCCAAGAACAGTGCTCAGTACAATCCCTACAGCGCTGGCTCCTGATGCCAAGCTCATGTTACTGTACCTTCAGTTTGTCAGCTCCATTAGACAATTTCACAACAACTAAGCAAAACGTAAACCTCTTTCACAGATCTCATTCTCATGCATCAAAAGGTTTGTTCCCTGGGGTAATCTTCTGTTAGTTTTACTTGATTGAAACAGCAATTAGGTTTCCTTGTCATTAAAAAAGATTAGAAGCATAGCACTTTGTTAATCTTGTGCTCCACTGAAGGATCTTCCAAAAAGCGATTATGTTCTGAAGGAAGAGCTATATGTCATGGTTATTTATTAATGTTTAATGTTTTTTGGGTAAAAATTTAAGCACCACTTTCCTTTAATGTGGTAGGAAAATATTTTCATGTGAAAAAGCTCTCATTTACTATTTTAAAAAAAGCACCAAATCTGACCTAAATAAGGCTGCAACTAAAGATTTGTTTTTTCAGATAAAGCTTTGGCAGTATAGTTAATGATGCAAAATCACAATTTATATGTCAAGTAAAAATAAACATGGCATTAAAATAACATTTAGTCAAACCCTTAAAATATTTTATGGACACAAAACTAAGGAATGTCTTACAGCTTCTGCCTACGGGGTTGAACTGGGTTATGGTGTAAACAGTAGTACCTTGGCATCTACAGGCCCTATTGCACACTGAAATTCAGATACCCACCCTCAAAATTCAGATACCTGTACTCAATACAATGCAAGAACAGGCAGAAATGAAAGGGGACTTGGACAGCTCATTTAGTTTTTACAGTAGCTAATTTATCCAAGGATCGCATCCAGCCATGTCTTGTAAAAAGCCACAGTGCCAGATTCAGCAGCATGGGTAGGAAGCTTGTTCCACACTTCCACCAACCCTCTGTGTGTAAAGAAGTGCCCGCTGTTGTGTCTTACACATACTTTTCCAGAACTGACACGTGCCCTCTGGTTTGTGCATAGCCGATTCTGAAGACCATCCCCTGAGAGCTCTGAACACTTGAATTAAGTCACATGGTCTTAGTCTTCGTAGTCTTCTCTGTTCAGAACGAAAAGGTTCAATTCTTTAGAATCTCATGTGTCTACATAAACACCTCTGTCTCATAAGTAGTGTCTGCAAGCTCAGTGTTTCTAATTTTAGATTTGCAATTTACATTGTCAGCTATTCTTACTCATTAGGTTTCAGCTACAAAATCGACTAATCTGCAAATTACACCAGAATCCGGATCACTGATCTAAATAAGGAAGAGCAGTGGACTTCAGGCAGAGATCCCTGAGGTACTCCACTAATTACATCACCCTAATGTGAGTGGTTATGCCTTATTTATACCCACTCTTTCCTGTCCATTAACCAATTCTTAATTTACATCTTGAATCCATACAGCCTGCAATTTCAGACACTAAATCTTAATCTGTTATGGTGAACATTATCAAATATTTTCTGAAAAATCTAAGTATACCTTATTAATTCCCTGTATCTATTATTACTGTTGCTTGATCAAACTTTGACACGTTTGTTAAGCACTTAACAGAAGCAAGATTTAGTGGTTTACAAATACTGGTTTAGTTTATTCTCTTTTTCATAGATGAGTACTACATTAGCAATTTCCCAGTCAATGTCTTGAAAAACTGCAAAAAATATATTAACAGCCTGGAAATACCAGCATTTGTTTTCTTAAGTACCACTGGTAAAATACTATTAGGCCCTGGAGATGTTTATCTTAAGTGCTTTTAGTTCTTGTAATACGTCTGACTCTTCTATGCTATTACTTTAATACAACAGCCACTAAAATAAAAAGATGAACAGGTAAGTGGATTCAACATTACTGACTGTCTTGACCACAGGCATGCTCCAACCATTCACTTTTTAAAGCGGATACAAATTTCACATTCACAATTACGACATTCTAAAATTATTAAAGCAGAACTGCACCAATACAAATGAAGTTTATAGAACAGAATGCTTGTGAATGGAGAAGAAAACTCCTAAAAGCTTGACCGGGCTAAACGTGGGTCAACACCGTTCTTTCAGGTCTGCACATTTCACTAAAAAAGCAAAAAAAACAAAGGGACCTGTAACCTCTCTGACATTAAAAAGTTGCTTATTTCTGGTGTCAGTCAATTGCAGGTCACACAAATGTACAAGCCTGTAGGGAGAATTTAGAGACACAAACTAACCTGGCCAATACAGTATGTCTTGGAAAGAGATGGAAGGAAACCAGAGGAAACCCCCCAAGCACAAAGGCATGAGACAGCAGTCTTTCTACCAGACTCCAGCAAAAATAGCTTTAGTTTTATAATGGATGCATCACTATGAACACATAAACAGGAAATATCTTCAGCCGATTGCTAAATCATTACAAGTCAAAGAAAAAAAAAACGTTTCCGATAAATGGAAAAAGTGGAAACGCCTACCTCAACAGTCGTGTTTCGGGGTTATACTGTACACACTTCACTATACAGTATATGATGACTAAGCTCAACAAAACACAGACATATAGATATTTTACTTGAGTTGCATCATCTACAATCTGCAAGTTTGCTCCGTCTCTTTCAGCATGTTTTAGGCACTTTATGGATTTTAACTGAGGACAGGAGTTCAGAATGTTTTAAGCATCAAGGCTAATTTTGTCAAACCATTTGTATGTGAATCCTGACACATGCTGAAATTTAAATCCACTTCTCGTTCTTTTTTCCCTAGATACAGGTTACCACACAGGAATCATCTCCACTGCAGCATATAACATTCTACTTGCAGTGGGTGTTTTTAAATGGAAGCATCAAAATAAGCAATTTGGCTTTACTCCTTGAGAAACCAGGATTTAACCAAAACAATAAGACAATTAAGACAATTATATTGTTATAAATCTTTGAAATCTAATTAGAACAGTTTAAATAACAATTAGAAAAATATGAACTATATAAAATGAAACATAATGTGCCATAAAGGGTTTATTTCTTTGTCTAGTATAGTGCAGGAATCCTGCAGACTCTGTGTGCTGCTTGCATTCCTTACTGTTATCACAGTTGGTAATCTTCTCCTGCAACAGTCCAGAAACGTAAACACAGAAAGAAGCCACTTTTTCAGATTTAAAAACGGCAAATCACTCTTTTTACCATTGACGAGGGGAGTATGAAACAATATTGTGTTAGTCTTCCTCAAGATATGTATGAACTCTGCAAACAGCACAAACAGTATATTTACTTCATAGGGAATAATATCAATTCTAGCATTTAAAAATGGATAATTCAAGTAAAAAACTGTTTAATACTATTTTCACATCCACCATTTTTCATCTCAGCCATACATATACATGCCCAATTACATAAACATATGGAAACAAACCTTTGTGATTAAGTGCAGTTCGTTCACCATGAGGCATTTCAATGTCCAGATGAATGCATCATCTCTGTAACCCTGTGAAAGCTATCACAGATGCAGAAATGTGTTTAATGACCAAAAAGTAGAAACAGATGATACAAACAGAAAAAAATCACTATAAAGCCTACTGTGCATGAGTTCAGTAAGGGCAGACTTTCTTTTTAATGATTAATAATTATTTTCCCCATTAGTAGTTATTTCTTTACAATAGACTTGCATATTAATAATGAAATAATGCTATAGTTACTTTATCATTATTCCACTTAGGCTGTTACTGTAGATCAATGCTTTGATTGGATTGTATAAGGTTTGGGGTCTATTTTCTATTAAGAGAGGAGATGGTTTTGAATTGATGTGCAGTGGATAAAAATATCTGGCTGAACTGGATGGTAAGAAAACCTAAAAGACATTTAAAACCAGGAAGCCCATAGCAATTGCATAAATGGACTCAACAGTGTTCACATCTGAGCATTATGGTGACTAAGGTTACCATTGCAACAATACTATTTTTACACTCAAAATAACTTTAATACAGTTACAAATATTTAATGCTAAACACCATTATACAGTATGTGCAAGTTCACAACCAGTATTTCATGAGATGTTTACCTTAACTGTATAAGATGTTCTTCATATGGAAATTAATCAATAATAGTGCAGTCATCTGCAATACATTTTTTTCATCAAACAGTATTTTGTGCATACTTGTTCACATAGTATTACAGCATAAAATGTCAAGAAAAATCCTTATGCTTTAAAATTTTACAACTGACATGTCAGGGAGTGTACGCTTTCAGCAGATCTTAGAAAATGATAGTAAAATAAGTACAAATGCAAAGTAAAATAGCACAAATGCATGCTTTCTTGTGCAAATAACATGTTGTAAATACAGTACATCTATCATAATGGTGGTTGCAATTATTTATAAGGGGTGGACAAGCTTTGATGTGCATGATTTGTTAAAATTGTATTGTATTCGTATTACTCTTAAATATGGAACCAGTATTTTTTTCTGTTCATTTTTAAGATGTTGCAGACAATTTTCGAACTATTTGGCATCATCCATTTTCCATTCCACAGGACTACCAGAGCATTATCTCATTCTTCTAATGAGTGACAAGAGCCATAATTTCTTAATTCAGTCATCCAGCTCAGACACGGTCTCTTCAGTGTCTGTTGTTATCAGTGGAACACTCCAGTGACCAACACATTTAGAGCATATTCTATCTTTCAATCAACACAATTACATTTCTGAATGATTTACATCGGTTAATATGAATTTCAGTCTACTGAGTGATAGCAAATGAGCGTATCAAAGTGAAATCCCTCTTCTGTGAAGTATATCCACTGTTTTAGCAAATTAAGACTGTGGCATCTTTGTGGAAAAAAGTAAAAGATTTGGTTTGGCCTGACTGAAAAAAACTATGGCGCTTTTGTCACTCCAAATGATTAGTTACAATAGCATCAGCATATTTTGTAAGGAAAATAATTTTGGCTTGGCTTCATCAGACTTACAATTCCCTGACGTTGCCAAGCCAACACAATTCAATGTACTGTATGTGGGCGTTTATTAAGCTATTTTTTGTTTCTAGAATACTTGTAACATATGGGTATTTGTCTATAATTATCAAAATTGACTCAATTTCATATACTATATCACTAGCTGAGAATAAAATGTTTTCCACATCGCACCTAGGGAATTCTTATGAAATACAATATAACATCTCTTGCAGGTTTTGTATTAAATTGTGTTTCACAAGTTTTATAAGAGTATTTTTTCAAATGAAGGATGTCATAACCTTATTAACACATCCCCTTGTTGAATTTCTACGTATTATTACCACCTTATTATATAAGTGAACATCTTAACAAAATGCAGACGGCTCATTTAAATTGTAATCATTTAAAGGTGAGTGCGTTACGTTTCATAAGTTGCTGTCATTTTTCACATGTGAGTAAGCTAAAATAAAACAGCCAAAAATGAACAAATATGGGTGTCTACAGTGTGGTGTAGAACTCCTCATGTTCTTAACTTTTTACTTTTTTTCCATTTTTATGCAGAAACAAAAAATATTAAAGATAACTTTTGGATAAACATATACAATTGCTATAGCATTACAATTGTTTGTTTCTTGCAACATGATATCATGTGGGCTAGTGAATTTGGGTTCACACTGCAATACTGTTAGTAACAGGGTTGTTCCTGTATTGCTGCTCTTGATTAGTCTAGACATTTCTATCAGCTTTACATGAGTTCAAGAATGACTGGTTTAAGCTAAGAATAGGTTAAGAATGACTTAAGCTGTCAGAAAGCTAAATTAGCATGAAATTGTTAAATCAATATCAACAAAAAAATCCTCAAAGAATTAATGAGCTATTTTACAATTTTGAACAGATCACACAAATGGTATTATACAAATGCCAAAAATCAGTTTATTGAGTTCATTGAGGAAGAATGTTGACAGAGATAGAGTTTATGGTCCATGAGGCAATGCTAAAACATTTCTTCTAAAGTTCTGAAATGAACAAAGAAACAAAAAGTACAATTTAGTTGCATCAGTTTAGTTGGCCAGTTTTGTACGCGAAGTTCAACCTTCAAGCTGAATACATGATATGAAATCTATCACTACCCATTGTTTTGATCACATGCAAAGGACACCCTACGAATAAAATGAATTTGTTCCAATACTGTTTTTTCACAAAGCAAAAAAGATCACATCTTACCTCAAACGTTCATTTTTCTATCCTTCTTTGTTCCTCTTCCAATGTTCCCTCATTTTGTAGACAATACATACCGTGCACTACTTAAAATACATTTGACTTTAAATGCTTTGGTTCACAATCAAGCTGCAGCTCATTGCCAAACAAAGTTAGGACAACAACACATCTGCCATGCAAACTACTGTATATACTCTGAATCTCGATCCCTTAAAGAATCACAGACATTACTGTGGTCCTTTTTCTACCTTGCCAGATAATCGTAGCAAAGCTAAGTCAAAATCCTATCACCGTAGTTTGCAATCTGATCCTGTTTATAATTTGTAATACCACAGTTGTAAGGTGAAGCAGCCTTGTAATCCAGCTGGAGAGTACTGAAAGAGTTATCATTCCTGCTCCTTGCAGAGACAGACCCAGTGTCTGATGCAGTCAGCTTTGTGACCATATGGAGCTAAGAATCCGTATACAATTACAGATAAAGTGAATTGCTCTCATAGTGCAGGGTGGTCTCCTCTTTAGGTGTTAATACACACCTTTACTGAATCTGCCATTCCTGCATGCACAGTATATGGCTGTGTATATCATTTAATAGCAAGCAAATGCAGTCTGTCTGTGTAACTAAGTCACTAGTGTCACAGCTGCATTACAAAGAACCAAAGCAATGCGAATAAACAATTAATGGCTATTCCGTAAAATTACCATAATAAATATAATGTGGTTTCGATATTGTTGCTGTTTTTCAGGTTTATTACTCTGTAGTCTTGTACTTTTTTCACCAATAATAAACTATGAATGATCATAGCAGTTTCCTGAATTCCCTCTGAATTCTGAAGGCTTTTAGTGAGAGTACATGGTGAAACATACACTTGCGTTGTATAACCCAATTTCCATTTACAATTGAGGACCACAGTGCTCCAAAATGACTTAGCTATAGTACAAACTGCAAAGTTCAGTCTGCACACTGCTGAAACACGGAGCCTGTAGGTGCATTTCCCTCCTTCAAACATTTTTGAAAAGAGTGGTAATTTGATGAATGATTCACTAATGTGGTTTTGCAAAAATAAGCCAGGAAAAAGAACTTGGCTGATTTCACAGCCGGACTTAAATATTCTGCTTATATAAATTCCAGACCTTGTCAATGGCTATTATACTGTACACTCTCTGTCATTGCATCTGTTGGTCTCTATAATCAATGATGGCTTGGTTGTGCAAGAGCTGTGTTTCGGGTTAAAGGTTTCATCCAAGGAGCAAGGCCTGACAGCTGAGAATGTAATTTGATTTTCTGTTCATCACTTTCACTCTCCAGGGCTCTCTGACAGCTAGCCTGAAGAAAACTACAGGAAAAATATTTTTGAGTAATGGAAAGCTAGGCATTAGCTTTGACACTTTATTAAATTACCTGTCTCTCCTCCACAATGTCTCTATTTCCTGGAAATAAACCACACTGTAAGACTAAACGCTAGACAAAAGAGAATGTTACAAGGAGTAGTTAAATGTAATATATAGTACAGTGATTTCAAAGTGGTTGTACATTTTTCACTCTATGGCAGAATATACTGTTATTTAAATCCTGAAATGTAATTGCACACAAATAATAAGAATAAGTATTAGTGACTATCTTGTGTGAAGAATTAAAACTATGACCACTAAAACTACTAGACTTGACAGGTTAAAATAAGAGCTATAATATACTATTTTTCTTTTTTACATAATTATTTTGAGAGCTGCTAAATCCCAGTTTATGAGTATTGGAACTATCAGCATGTGTTGCATTTCGAATCCTTCTCACGAGATTTGGACAATTCTGATGTTCCTGCTGACATGGTAGCAGAGTTATGCTCAGTTGCTAAAAAAACAAACATAACTGAACACAAAATTTTCCTGAGTGTCAGCAAACAAAAGCATTTCTTCAAGGGTTTATATCCTTACTTGCACAGTATTATGCCCTCTGGAACTTTACAAAGCAGCAACAAAAACATTCTTGTCATTAAAGGCACCAGAGCCCTTTCAATCACTGCTACAAGTAGAATTTAGATTACAAGATGAGAGCACCTCCAGATGCGTACAAGGTTTTTCTTCTCAGAAGCATGCATCACCTTTTACTATATGTCCCAGTGTTGATCCGGGAAGCAGCGCAATGAATAGAGACAAAAACTGGAAAACGAGATGAGAAATTATGACACCAGGGAGGGAAGTGCAACTCTGCACATTCAGCAAGCATACCTACATTCTTGACAATTGTACTTAGTCAAGAAACAATGCTATAACATCATAACTGTCATCTTTTTTGACACATTGCGAACCAAACTGCAAAATACTTAAACTTTTCCACGTTTCTTAAAAATGTGCTAGAAATTGGATACACATTGATAAAACCTAACGGATAAAAACATTGATAAGATCGTAACGGATTCACCTGTTCTCTTCAGTTCATTCAAGATCACGACAAGTTGTGCACACAAAATGTACTGTGCCGAGTCTGAGTATACCACATAAGGGACAGGAAGGTCCTGCTTAATTTGTATTTGGAAGCACTCCCCATCAATAAAGGGGTTAATCTGTACATTCCAAGTGTCCAACAATCCTACTTTTCGGGCAGATGCTTGGCATCATTTTATCATATTCTTTTTTGTTTCCTCCTCGGTTTACATCATTTTTGTTAAACAAATGAACTTTGCACAACAACACTTACTGTACTCTGAAGGGAAGTTGCACACTCTTTCTTTTAGTCTGTTCCTGGTGAGCTCCTGCTCTACCACTCTAGCCCTGCAGGACATCTGAATCTTAAAATACAAGCAGAATGGATGAGCAATAGGAATGCTGTCCAGTCTTCAATTGAAATGTATATTAAAAGATTTATTTAGCTTCTGGGAAGCTTTCATTTTATTCCTGGATTGAAGAAAGTGTTCTCATACATTCATGCCAGAATCATGAAAAAATAAGCACACGTTCTTCCACAGCCAAAAGTCAGCTGTAGAAAAACTCAATGACAATGACTCAAGTTGCCACAAAATGACTCGCAAATGACCTCTGTACCAAGGCTTTGTTAAACTTCCCCTGCCATTCTTCTGTCTGGTCATCCCAACTGTAGGGATCCTATAGGAAAACACTATTGATAGTGTGAATAATGCCACGCTTTGTTGACCTACACTCTGAATGGGTTATCAAAGAGGTTGAAATATCAGTACAGCAGCCATACTGAAAACACTTTTTTTTTTAACTGGTGAATGAACCCAAAATGGCAAATCATATACTGTACAGATCATTTTGTACAGAAATCATGTGATAAACTTGCTTTAGATTTTAGCAATATTCCAAATGCAAATTTTAATGCAAGGATGGCAGGCCTTTCCTGATGAGGCATTTCCTACATTCATTTAATTTTCTCATCATGATAAATAAGATCGGATCAAGCTGTACTGACAGTCAAGGTCAGAACAAAGCCTGGGGGAAATGCGGATTCATCTGACAGACCTGCTGAAAGGAGAACTGGAAGTTGCCAAAGGTTACAGCATCTAACAGTTTCAATGCTTCACGACAGAGAAATCAAACACTTGCTCTTCTGCCCGCCATTACACACCCTCAAGGTCCTTGTGTTGTTGTTTTTTTTTTAAAAGCTGTTTATTACAAACAACAGATAAAACATACGAGACACCTGAAGAAAAACTAAATTCTAGGGAATCCCAAGTACTTGGATGTACTCTTTATACTGTACACATACAAAAAAAAAACAAATGAAATAATTTATAAAATTAAGTAATGGTATAAGCAGAATATTAAAAAAGAAGAAAAGCATTAAAACTACTGTATAAGGTATAAATAAAAATGCAAACAAAAGAATCACGAATTTAAGAGTTTCTAATCAAACAGAAAATGTTTAAAACGTTATATTATTCCAAGAACACATTTTCCTTCACATGGAATGAAATCTAACCTTAAAATGTTCTGATTCTAATGCAATAAATAGCTTCAATGGCCTGCTTGGTCCTTTTAAATCTTTCCCATTACTTTTCACCTGATTTAACCATCATGCAGATTATTAATTTACAGAGCTTAAATTAAAAAAAACAGTTTAAAAATAAACTGTAGCTTCAAAACACTGAACACAACTTTATGAAACAGAGCACATCTTTGAGCAGTTAAAATTGTTTATTACATCTATTTTATAGCTAACAAAACAATGTAATAAGGTACTGTATAGATACATTGTTACATTACACTGGGTACAATAACAGGCTCAATTATTAATAATAGTATTAATTTTATACTCTGGTAGAAGGACCAAGAAGAGACATGGGTTTAAAATAGTTATGTACTGCAGCACTAGACTATAACAAGTCACACTGTGAATTATGATGAGACTATAATAAAAGGAGTTTAGCATATTACACAAACAAGAACATTGCACAAATAATTGTTTTAGAAAAGGCACATGCACCCATGACTATCTTTTCTGTTGCAGATACAAATGAAGAAGAAAACCAGTGTATATATAAAGGGAGAAGGTCGAAACAACATCTACACAAGATTACAAACCTGTAAGTGGAAATAAACTCACGGTACAACAATGGCAACCATCATGTTAATTTACCGATATCCGTAGAAGTTTCACATTTTTACCAACCACTTTACTTTGTGTGATTTATTTTGTCCTATGGGTACATTCCATTTTCTGTGCTCTTTACTGTACTGGACCCTGCAAGTAACCCAGGGTATACTATAGTAAATGTAACCTAGAAACTTGAAACATTTCCACCTTGAGTTGCATTTCATGAATTAAATCAGACAACATGTAGAAAAATAAAAGACATTCATCAGAAAGGCTAAGAGCACAAAGACTTTGACACAGTAGACAAAGGAACACTTTCATGTGTATTCTGAGGAATGTCGAAGGTAGGCAGACCCAGCATTGTGAGAAAATACAATAGATAGCAGCAGTTAAAAAAATCATCTTCCGACCACAGGTGTACACGACAGAAATGACTGTCAACCCACAGATCGTAATAACATTAGCAACAGGCTACCTACTATTTGAACTCCAGCAACAACAGATTCACACTGTACAGCTCACACACACATCCTTGAGAATGTTATGGAAAGCATTTTGCACAGTCTGCCAAAGGTTTAAATAACCTTGTAACAGAACTATTAAGATAACATTCCACCCTCTTTAGGTTACTTTAATAACCCCCAACCGAAAACCAGTTTTAAGTTGAAAAGGAATGAAATGATCTTATCTTCCATCTGCCTCCTAAACTATTCTTTAAAACACCCAGAGACTGTAAAAGTGTAAACCTTCTTATTTAGGTGTGAGTATACCCTAATAAGAAAACTTGTATCGTGGTCTGTTAAAAGGCCAAAGGAAATTAAGCAAACAACAAACAAAAAACATGGCATAAGGGATGAAAAATTAAGACACAAATGAAATACTGTTTAGAGGATTATCTTATTTTTCATGTGAAGTTAAAATCTAAATACACGACACGACTGAAGAAAATATGCTGGAGAAGACTGTTGGAACCACACTCATTTTTTGGCTTGTTTAAAACACAGAACAAAAGGGCTCCATTTTCACAATGAAACTTGCATATATTCCAGTTAGTTGTTTCTGTCTAAACAAGTTAGACAATGTAGAGAAATGTAGAAATGGATAGTTTAGAATTTTAAAGAAATACATAAATATCTGCCCTTCTTAATTTTCCACTTTTACAGCTCATCAACTGATACAAATTGATTAACCAATTTTAGCCTATATAGCTTCGGTCTTATTTGTCCACTTCCCCAGCATGATTTGGGTTGGTACAGGCTCCCAAATTCACTCTGGACAGGTAGGACTATATGTATGAGTATACACAAAAAGCACCCTGTATTTCTGGAGTACAAATAAGGAAGCACACACAGGTTTTGAGCCAAACCTCAAAAGTATACACAACCACAAGCAAGGCGGAAAAATAAATATGAATTTTGTTCCGCTACCTGGTGAAAATCGGCAGTTTTGTTGAAAAAACACAAGCTTAGAAAATGTACCAGTTTGGGATATCATTAACACCTGCTACAGGTTAAAGTCTACAACCCCCTTCCCAAATTAAGACATCAAATATTAAAAAAGCATCTTTATTTTTTCCAGTCTCCATAGTGATTTTTTGTTCCAAAATTTTAAAACGGTGTATCACTAAGTAAAAGTGACAATGTAAAGCATTGATTGGTAACAAGAAACATTTGATAACTGGATTCACAAATGCACAGAAATGTGACTTCATCCAATGCAGATTTATATGAAAGAGCCTTAAAGAGAACTTTGGTGCTTGTATAAGACAGAAACACACCAGCTTCCAAACAGAAGCAGATCTAACCAAAGGCATGCTTAAGAAACTATACATCTCAATACATAAAGAAGCAATCCAATTCTAAGAAATTAATTCTGGCTATATCTGTACTGCTCTGGACAGGAACAGCAAAGGTAGTTTAGATACTGTATATTCACAGTGATTATTAATGTTTCCCTTAAAAATATACCTTTTACAAAATCTGGGAATGCATTCTTTGTTTTCTTTAAAAATTGCAAAACCAGTTCAAATTATGCCACAGAATTTCAAGAGAAAAATATTTTTTGGTAAAAAACTTTCATGGATTTGTCATTTGTAAAACTTTTAATATGATACTTCTACTTGTCTATATAACAACCAAACAATCTAATACACAGTGAGGAATTTTGATTTGTTTCATGTTACAATGTAAAAAAAAAAAGTGTAAAAAAGACTACTTCATAAATTATATTGCTTTACTGTACAAATATTGCACAGTGCTTTTCTCTAACCCCACATTCATCAGTCACTTCTCAGGCATTTTATGATCATAATCACAGTTATCAATATTAAGGCTTAGTAAAACAATAAAAAACACCTGTACTGTGCAAAGTTATAGCTATTTATAGGTTTAAAAACATCAGGAGCTACATAAAATATTTAATACAAAACATCTATTTTTTTCAGCTTACACCTTCTGGTTAATAGATGTAATGTTCTAAAATATGGCTTGGTAAGCAGGAGATCATTTAGCAGGTTCTCTGTATTATACATTTCTGCTTCAGGGGGAGTGTTTTCTGCAGTGGAGTTCTAATAAAAAGAATTACATTCATATCATCTTCTGTAAGAGAGGCACAACTTCTAAGGTAAAGGAAATCATCGCTATGAAACTGAACTTAAAAAAAAAAACATTAAGTGTGCAACAGGTGCAAACCTTGTAAAAGATTAGGTATCCCAAAACGGAAGTGATCAATTTTAAAAAGAGGGGTGAAGGGCTGGTGTGCGAGAGTAGAGTCTGAACCGCTGTAAGAACAGAACCTCTTTTTATCACTACATAGAATGACACTGTTTAGCCAAGGCCAACAGAGACAATGGAACAGCTGGAGTGAGAAAACGAAGCCCGAGGTAACGGAATGTGACAACGAAAGCTCTGCTATCTTCTACAGGCCCAGAAAGGGTTGACGGCAGTTGCTCAGATGACTGAAATAAAGAAGAGAGGCAAGTGCTCCACAGGAAAACCGATCGCTTCTGCTGGGATACAAATCCTTTGCTCGGAGTGCAAGTTCCCTGCTCGAGACTTGAAATAATGCTGCTGAGCAAAGCAGGCGAAGCTCAACATCGGACAGCTTCTCAAGAACCTTTGCTTTCGTTTCAGAGTCTTGAGAGAAGCTCTTCGCTTGTGTAGCTTGAGAGATGTCCCTCCATGGCCATTGGGAGGGCAGGTATTATGACAAGGTCGTTCCTAAGATAATAGCTAGAATGAGGAGGGCCACAGCTACACATATAGCTAAAATAAACTGTTTCTGTAAAAAGAAAGAAAGGGATATGAGAAATTCAGCATACTTATTAAAAGTACTATGCAAGCATTACCACTGAACTTGTGTCATATTGAAGGCTCAGTTGAGCTCAAGGGCAAACTGCATACAGCAAGCAATACACTCATTATAGTCCAAAATCACACAAACAAGGAAAAATAGGGGCCATAAAACTCGCAGGGAACCAAACACATGCTGATGTTTTAAAATTGTTTTGCTTATGCTTTTTAAAAACATTAAATATAGAGAATATTTCATCAAAGCCAACTGGCAAACCCTGTAATAAATGCCAACTAAGCTTGAATCGTGACATTCTCTAGGTAACATATTCTAGAACATTAAATTACAAGAATCTCACACTATGGGCATAACTACTCTCGGGCTCTATAATTCATTGCGGGCTGAACACAAATAGAGCTTATGGACCAGTTGCAAACGGAGAGGAAGGGCACAGGAGACACAAAAGGCAAGACTTTAGCTGCAATGTTTTAGGGTTTTATTATTGTTAGGTTTTTGCTTAGAAGCTGCATTTAACAAGATTCTCAAAAGGGCATCGCACACAGTGCAGTGTTAGACGGCACACGATAACGTAAACAAATGTAATGTTATAGTCTAGATCTAGTGATTAACATGTTATAAAGCTGAAGTTATTATGAAATGCCCTAGTAATTCTAATGCTAAACTTCAGGTGACTATTCTTCTTCTGTCATATGCAAGATGAAAAGCATTGAGTATTTTAAAAAAAGAGTACACAGCAATGAAAATGATACAAGCAGTGGTGTTTTGATAGTTACCTAGTGCAGCGAGCAAGAGGGACCTATTTAAGTCCCAAAGACAGACCAACAATTAGTGCAATTATGCCGAGGAGAACCAGCACTGCTATGGCAATTATTAAATATTTCTGCCAAAAAGAAAAGCAAAATTGTTATACATGATACATAATGCATTCAATTGTACAGCACATACAATGTTATTACTACCTGCACAAGAGCAATGTAGTGTTAGACCAGCACATGTTAGTCACATTTTTACATTAAACAGCAATAACAGTGATCAGATACTAAACTCAAGTTTACCATGCACATTTTTAGCACACCATTTTGCAATAATGTTGTTTTATGGTGCTTTACAAAGATCTTTTAGTCTTTTATGCAGACCAATTAAAACTGGAGGAAAATCAAACTTTATGCACTGCCAGTTTAAGCTGTTTTTAACCGTGGGAGTTTCTGGTAAACACTGAGGACACATAACATGGGCACTTGTATTCCGCATTGATGTATTCAACAATAAATGGATTTCAATAAGCAGACACAATCATTTTAAGTTCTTACCCGTCGTGCTTTACTTTGGTACTTCACAGCTTTTTTAGTCTCTTCTTTGGCACGACCTACATATTCAGCTGCATTAGTTACATTTTTTTCTATGTTGTTTATCATTTCCCCCTTAAAAGAGAAACAAGAAGCGTGTATTACCACATTTCCTGAAGCTAGAAATGGACAACAATACAAAATGCTAAAATTACAACTCATTAGAGTAGATTTGTTGTAAATTCTTTGGAGTAAAAAAATATTTAGACTTATCTTATGCAATTAGTGGACAGATGATAATTATTTAACGGGAGGAAAAAAAAAAGACATAGGCACAGAATTGATTAAATGTGACGGCACATGTGTTCATCGATGCCAAAAATGGATGTCATGTACTGACAATCAGCCAAAGACAAAAGTAAGCAACAATAATGAAACAGAGATACGGCCATGACAACCCACTCTCGATCAATTACACTGAGTGAAAGATGTGAGATAAATGAAAGTCCATTTCCAGCATGCACATTTTCTTGGAATGTGAAATAGCAGCTGACACTGCTTTGAATGCGGCTTATGAAGACAAACCCAGAGAGATCAACTTCATTAAGTGAAGTCATAATTTAGCCTCCCTGAAGATCTTTCTATGAGTATTGTATGGATTCAACAAACCATATTTAAGTAGTCAAATTAAAACGCCTTATCACAACCTTAGGACTGAAGGAAAGGGAGACAATTTCTTTAATACACTAGGTATTAACATGTTTTGAATCATATTTACTTTTTACAGAGCCAAAATGTTATTAGCTTCTGTCAGCTGCAACTTTTTTTTTTTGAGAGGCTGGATAGATGCAAGCTCTACTGCTTAGCAATGGCATGCTGTAGGGCTCAATGTATTTGCATGGGCATCAGAAATGGTAGAATATCTTTACCTGTGGGCATTGCAGACCTGCCAGGTTTGAAGCACACAATTCAGAAAACACAAATCATTACAAAACTTCTTCGACGCTGCCTTCACTGCACCGTTGCCAGTACTACACATTGTAATACACCACTTAATGTGGCTGCATTACCGCAGAAGTCAAAATGACCTTTTAGGAACACAAACTTCAAGACCAACAGATTCCATAGTACGTTTTTAACCCCAAAATAAACCATCGCAGGACAGTGCTCCCTCAGTCCTCTGCTAACATGCTCCAGCTCAATGTTATGACTGTGGCTGTGGCTGTGGCTTTCAGCTCTGGTATTAAGGGCTTGTTAAGAAACAAAATTAGTCAAACGTGGTCTTTGTAATTGACTTCTTTGTAAGAAGTTGATTACCGTAATACTATTCAATGGGAAACAATAACTCTGATAAGATTCCAAAGTAGTACCTGTGTCTCCACTATCATTGCCATGTCCGTAAATATCTCATGCAGTTCCCGAATGCTGCATTCCAGTTTCATGATGTCTTGGTGTCGGGATTCAATTTCATTTAAAGCCTGGCGAGTGATCTGGGAGTCTGATATGATCTGAAAATAAGTTAATGTGGCCTTTAATTAACATTTTAAATAAATTAGCATCAAACACAAATAATTTGTCGTTTTAAAATAAAATAATGGAGTCAGAAAGAATAGTCTGTTCTTCCATTTAATAAAGAAAGTGACAATTTAAGCTGTTATATACATAACATATATATCAATGTTATAGATATACACAAAACCACAAAATTGTGACTTTTCTTCACTCATTTCAGTATTTAAGATGTGACAAAAGCAAAAACAATTGAGGTTAAATATAAAAGAAAACATCCACCAGAGGGCGCTGCAAATTCTTTTAATTTGAACGAATACTAATAAAACAATTTAGTTTTTGGGACCCTAGTCAAAACCCAATGATAATCAGTTATCTGAAGTGGCACAACTTGAAAGAAACAAATGACAAAGTAATTAAAACAATACTTAATATTTTTTTAAAAAATATTATATTCCAATTACAGTATGAGTTTAAAATGTTTAATTTAAAAAAACGCATTTATAGCCAAGTACTGTAAATACATTTATGTGGGGGACTCACATCAGATGTAAAAATAGCAGGATTCCCACTTTCCAACATGTCTTCCAGTTCGTCACTTGTTGTAACTTTTCCAGCTAAATAAGATTTAAAAAAATTGATTTAACAAAGTCAATAACAGATCAATCTTCTGTTATATTCAACATAAATGAGAATTAGAAACTACAATTATTTTGATGAGAGCAGTTAAATAACTACATTTATGATCACCTCTAGTAAGATAAATAATATAAATATCAAAAGAACTCTGACAGAACCATTACTTTCTTAGCCGTTGAGAACAAAGTCAATCAAAGGGTATTCACATTTGAAAAAAATAAAACACATTTATCCAGATGCATCTAATTACGTTTGTCTTTGAACCTTTTACAAAGGATCCATAGGAGGAAAGTGAATTTAAAATTCTGAAAAACAGTCTGAGATGAGAGGATCATAACCTCTTCGATATCAGCTTGAAAGTAAGTTTGCTTTTCCATTCAAAAGCAAAGCTATCATTATACTGTATCAAACAATTGTTCCCACAGACTACCATCTGTGTGGGGTGATGTACTGAGACACAAGGGCTACCTCGTTCCACCTCAAGGGACCAGTTGTTGATTCAGCTGGGAGTGTTACAGGGAGCTGCTGTAGGATCCCGAGTTGCAATACGAACAGCAACAGAAAAAGGACGATCGTGCAGCTGTTTGCACGCAGCAAACTAAAGTGACAACCCTGAAGATCTCTTCTAAATACTGACTTTTGGCTTTTACCTGACAGAAAAGTTAAGCCCCTTTATGAATCCTTAATTACACCGGAGCAGGGCCTTCTCTCCTGAGGCCTCCTACGTGAAACTCAAGTCTTGCCCACTGGGGGAGGATTCACAACAAGCCACCTTTCCAGTCAGCCGGCTGAGCCGAGCACATGGCCTTCAGCTCCATCTCTGCTTGCTGTACAGTCTCTGGGAGGGAGACTGCTTTACCAGAGAAAACCAATTGTGCTCTGCAATGGAGAGCTGAAATTTCATCCGTCAGCAAAGTGCCCCGCATTGAATGCGGAGGGATTAGGTGTTTCTTTTGGCAACTCATGACACTCTACATGGTTTCACAAAAAGAAAACTACAGGACTGTGTGGCATATAACATAATATACATTACATAGTGCAGATAAATGAGTAACCAATGCATTAAATAAAAACTGCCACATTAAAAGAAATTAAGCTTCATCACTTACAGAAGTATTACTTTTTTGTACATTTAGATTTGAAGAAGTCACCTGGGTTAACCTGCTTGGCTTTTGAAGTTGGCTGGAATAGGGAACTTATACTGTGTTAAAGGAACACTATAAAACCACAAAGATTTCATTTCTGGGAGGATGTCTACAATAAGCTTGATATTTTAATGGCTAAAAAATGATGGTCAGTTTATCATATACAGTACTAAACACTAGTAACTGTTAAAGTCTCATAGAAAATATTTTGTCTGGTGTTTTGTCCGTTTATTATAAGTTATGCTTTACATTTTTTAAATACCAGCAGGGTGTATACATCATTGTAGCATTTACACTTTGCAGAACTAGTGCAATAATTCATCAGACAGCAGTATTCCTGGGCTTAGCCTGTTTCAGAGAGGGGACTGAAAACAAACCAGCTCAGTTTCTCACAGATTTGGGTTACTTGTGCTAAAACAAGAAAACACGGTAAAACAGCAGTCAACATTTTTACATCCCTCATCGCCATCTATTCAAATGAAGGTTTTACTGAATGTTTTTTTTCCACCATACTGTAAAGTGAAAGTCGACAAGTTAAAATGACTTCCTGAATCGGAGAAAGGCACACAAAGAGTCCCAGCTCTTCCTCTAATGACTAAGGGATGAGCTCAGAAACCCGTTGCAGAAGATTTGATATTGCCAAGCATGACAACACAGGGAGTCTCCGAGTTGTATTAAGCCTAGCGCTGATTAGAATACTTTAAGAAAAGTCTGTTACTAAGGTTTTTCCAAATTGAACTTCATAAGACACTTTTATTTTACTTTGCCCCACAGTTGTTTCGAGCAATTACAATTTTTCTGCTGACTTCAAATGTAATATTGTTGTAAGAAATCAATCTTTTTTTTCGGCCTCAGACAGTGGTCTCCCAGAAACAAGAGGGAGCAGCACAGAAGAGAGCACACTCCTGCGCAATGAGATAAGCTTATTTGGGTTTGCTGAGCACTCGCAATCCCAGCTGTCTCACACACGGTTACCCTAGCAACATAAACACAGGTGTCTCCTGCTGCACATCGTCTTTCCCAGAGTTCAGCACAAAACGCACGTTTTACCATCTGTAGACGAGTTGACATTTTTGAACTTCTCAATTGAAATATTCATTCATCTATCACTATCACTTACTAAATGCTATAAAATCCGAACAATACATAAAATATCCCCTTTTCGAATCATTAAAAATTATCTTCAAAGATGAGCTATCTTCAGTCAATTTACAAGAATGCAGATGCAAGTGGCAAGCTGCATGGTCTCAAAAGAGATTATGATTGCGAGTTATAATTTCAAGAGCTTCCCGTCAAATGTGAAATTATTCACATACACCTGTAGCATGTTCTCCCACAGTGCTCACATGAATCTCCACTCACTTATCTCCAGCTGTCTCTGTATTCGCCCTTTACTTCTCTCCCGAAATGATACTTGAGTATCGTTGTATTGTGTCATGACCTCCACAAACTTCCGGGATAATATGGTGTGCTGCAGGTAAAAACAAAACACATTGTCATGGCTGACGAATAACGGTTTAGTATTTCAAACTGAAGAAAAACAAAACAGTTTTCATGGGTTGCAATACAGTCCGAGATACACTTATAATATTTTAGAAAGTATAAAGCTATCAAAAGCCTATTTAAAAGTATATAGCTTTTAATGTAATTTGGATTTGAAATTGCACTGATTATATTTACACTCTAACACACTTATTGCTTTAAAAAAAATAAATGTACTGACAACCAAAACAAGTTCCCACATTCGCTACAACCCCAGTTTAAAATAAAACAGGGTACAGAGGTACTTTATGAAAGAGAATGAAATGTGTGGTTTCATTTTCTAACCTGGGTTTTCTGTATCCTGTAGTTCACTGATGATCGGTTTGCATTATCATCCTGGTCTAGGTTTTGTTCCATTGCTGTTGAATTAAAACAAACGAGTCTTGAGAGAGGAAAAGCAACACATTTAAAATATTCTAACATTTTAATTTTAAAATGTAACATTGTTTGATCATCAGAAAATATCCTAGATATCAGAGTTAAGTGTGAAAAATTGTTTGCAGAGAGAGACTATACATATATGAACACCGGACCTCGATTAAAGTCAAGGCACAAATAATTGGTATCGAGGGAAAAAAAAACACCATTTAATGGTTTGTGCTGGTTTACAAAAGTCATCAATATATTCGCTGAATACTCCAATAGTTTGAAAATAAACAGAGATTTAGATGACATCAAGCAGTTTAACAGTGACAAACAAACAGCATTTGTGTACCCCATAGGACAAGTTTCAGTTTCAGGTATTTGCATATCAAATTCAGACTGCTGTGTACACAAAGCTCTCTGTATCCACCTTTAAAACCTCTAGTTTTAAATGGTAAAATGTCTTAACTCACATTTTAACCTGGCTCGAACAGCATTGGCATTTTTCTTGATTTCGATGGTAAGCTGCTCAAGTTCTTCTTTAGTCTCTGGAGAAACAAGAAAACAAATAATAAACAAAAGTAAAATCATTGAACTTGCTCTATTGGTCATAGATTTAGACGGATCAGTTTAAAAACTCTAGCAATTTCAGTGCTATTTGCCCCATGCAAAATACATGTGAACTTCTAATAAACGGTCCTGGAAACTATAAAAGAACAGTTTTTGATCTTGTCTTTCTGAATAGGACAAGAATTCTTTTTTTTTTTTGTGATGCTCTCTACAAAAATCAACATTATCAATCAGGTCTTGTGTTTAGCATGACGTTTATTTTTAGGTGCTTAAAGAAAATACGGTAGATTACACAAAAGGAAATCTGTTTCCCTGCAGCAAGTCCCAATAGAGAAGATGACAAAAAAATGGTAACCTACTCAAGAGTGGTGCATAAAAGCTACCTTTATTCAACAATCAATCAGCTCAGCTATCAATGATGGAAACGTATTACTACATTTCTAAGAATAAAAATAATAATTCCTTATACTCATATAGTGCTTTTCTGGACACTCCACTCAAAGTGCTTTACAGGGAATTGAAATTAACCTCCAAAACCACCACTGTGCAGCAAACACATAGATAATGTAATGGGAGCCGAAGTGTGCCAGGATGCTCACCACACATTAGCTATTAACGGGGAGGAGAACAAAGTGATGAAGCAAATTCATAAATGGGGATTATTAGGAGGCCATGATTGGTAAAGGCCAGGGGGACATTTGGTCAAGACACCGATAACACCCCTGCTCCTTTTGAAAATCCCCATGGAGACATGAAGAGTCAGGATCAGTACCCCTTGCAGGGCGTCCATGTAGAAGAACTGACACAAAACAGCGTGTTTCCAGCCTGTAAAGTTTAACAACCTCAGGTGAGAAACCATATATTTTCTTACGCTTGGCACTGAGAATCCTTCAATCAGACCAACGCTTTAAACCAAGGCACTGACAATGCGGCATTCACAGGCCATTCAGCTAAATGGGTCCTGCTTTCCGATCAAAACGCCAAAGAAGGAATGAAGGGGCGTACGACGAGGGGAAGAAATAAATGCCATTCTATTAACACAGCACTAATCTAGCGAGGGCTGCTGTACCTTGCAGGAAAATGTCTTAAGGAAAATTTCTGAAGGCTCTCAATGTTCACAGATCAAGTTGCCACTCAAATCACGAACAGATACAAAAAGAATCAGGGACAAGATGGATAACAAATGAATGAATACAATTCTGCAAATAAATACTTGCCACCTTTTAATTTAACTCTTTGACTGTCCTTAAAATTAAATAAAAAGAGCAAATACTAAAAATTCAAATCAGAGGTGGGTGACACTTAGTAATACTGTATTCATCAAGATATTAGATGTTACACATATTATATGTATATATCATGGTACTGTAATATTATTATAACTGAGTTATGGTGCAGAGGATGGTTATTGATAAAAGCCAGATCTTACCCTAGACGTTCAGGACAGGATATATATTGCTCTTTATAAGGAAAGCAAAATTAATCTGGCAAACTACAGTTTTCTTTCAGCATCATACCATTTCTAGAATTAAATACCATTCCAAGAGAAATATTAGAATTATTTGAGGACAGCATTACAAAAGGAAAGAAATATATTTGATCTATTTCAGTATTCTAGCTTCCAATCAAACACTCAAGGCCATCCTCATGCTTAGGACCCAATACAACTACAAAAGAGAAATTATATCTAAAGCAGATGGAAAAGTGTATCTTATCTATTGGCTCGCAAACAAGTCATTCAAAGAGAAGCATTTTACAAGTGTAATATGCTACAAAAAGCATCTCGGAAGGCTACAAATTCCTAAGGTCTTAATTCAAGCAAGAACTGGAATGTCTAAGAAAAATTCTGTAGTAATCAAAGATTTAAGAATATACACAGATTTCAATATAAAACGTAAAAATGTTACAACTGTAACAAAGCAATACCCCCGTGACTAGTACCCCTGATGCATGATGTACACTTTAAAGTAGTATGCTCTGATCAGCATGTTCTGAAAGACATGAACCACAACTACCAACTTGTGATTCTCCAAGAGTCACACCAC